AATGCGCTGAAGTCCCTTCGATCTCAAACGAGGACTTTGATAATTTTTATGTCTAGTCGCGGAGGAATGTATCGGTCTTACGGGCTGCAACCCATTGATCTAAGGCAGAGCTGTCCAACTTAAAGTGGTCCAGCCCAAGAACAAAAAATACAACTTGGAGGGCCGCATTATAACATCTTTGCATGTAACTTTATCAGTGATATTGTACATACTGAGGGAAATTTATACATCTGAGTAAAAAAACGAGATCGCGAACCTTATGTTGGACAGCCCTGATCTAAAGCATATCCTTTAGAGTTCCATTAAATTAAACAAAACAATATACAGTTTCCATTTTTTTTGCATTTTTATTATAGGTACTAAAGAGGAGCCAACTTTTTCAGATGAGACCCGTAACCACGCAGGAGTTGCAGTTATGTGGAGCTTAAGAAAAAGAAAGATCGCTAGATAATTATGCAAAATTACTGTACATTTCTTTCTATCTATATAACATTGTTAAACACGTAGATCGTTTTATTGTTGTCTCATTTTTGTACCCATCAATTGCTTTTTTATGTAAATGTTCTATAATTCTTGGGGAGGACAAGTGATAGTACAGTGATACTTAGGTATCGTATTCTGGTGGGGGTGTGGAGGGTTTGGAGTACCCCTACGTAGAAGGAGAGTCCGGGGGTTCTCTCCCGTGACAACTTTGAAAAATATAACTACTAACAACGCTATTTTATTCATTTCCTAGTAAATTTACCACACTTGCATCTCGGGCGATGTTCTATGCGCACAACAATCTTGGCCCTTGGAAGGGGCCAATTTCCATTTGACCTCCCGGGGATCCGCGCCTGCACAAGCCGCCCTTTCAGTAGGTACCTATAAAAGTGAAACCTGCTTTTGCAGTGAGGGTTGTAATGTTTGTGGTACTTCCATTAAATACTCCTGTTTCCCTGATCGATTTTGTTTACAGGGTGCACAGGACACCCTTTAAATGCACACAAAAGTATAGCCCTTTCCCACTTTAAAAAATACACAAGGTCCTTTTCACAATTCGTCTATTGCGAGGATTGTTATGTTTGTGGTACCTCAAACATTTCGATTCCTTTCTTGATATTGTGTACAGGACCCACAAATTACTCTTTATTCTTTAAGTGCACACAAGTGTATATATAGCTTCTCGCCATTGCAAAAATTATAAGTTGTTTAAATAAAAACTTATCTTGTAGGTACATAATGATTCGTCTATTGCGAGTTCTGCAATGGTTGTTGTAGATCGAATATTTTTGTTTCTCTGTTTGAGTTTGTGCACAAGGTCCACAAGCGACCCTCTAAGTGCATATAGAGGTCTCCCCCTCATTTTGAAAGCTTACTGTTATATATAACGATTCGTGTATTGAGAACGCTGTGATTTTTAAGGTGGGTAAATATTTTTGTTTGGTCTGTTTAAAAATTACAATTTTTTTAAGAAAAACAACTTTTAAATAATAGTTGTCAGGGTTGTAATCCAGGTTGTAATTTTTATGGTAGGTACATCAAATGTTTTTGTTTACTTGTTTGATTTTCTTGGCAGAACGTAATTTTATAAGTAGTGTGTTGGTAAAAAAATTAAGCATAGTTTCCAGAGGGAGCGAGGTCACGTTCTGGGGGGGGGGGCTGAACCAAAACACCCAGCCACCCCCTACGGATATTAGGCTTTCTTACACACTGAAGGGGTGATACATTTGCGCTATATACCTATATATACCTATTCGTATTTTCAGATTGATTATCTGCAACATCAGTCCATCTCAAAATTACGTAATTTCTAACGAAAATCAATTCTTACTTAGCAAAAGGAAAGAAAATTTGAGTGCTACTACAACTAATATGGAGTGACATACATTTAGAATCGGCAATCGCCCGTACTTGCATTTATACTGTCTAGTACATCCGTTTTTACAGATGCGGCTTGAAGTTGCCTGATGGCAAGCGCGTTTTACATGTTGCAGAAGTGCTGCTTTTGTCGGGAGAATATTCTCAATGGCTCGGGAGTTTGGGTAAAGAGTTGTTTTCCAGCTTCATTGACAGTCAAAGCTTTTCTAATGCGGTCATACATCGGCACTAATTAGTAACGTTGCCATTGACTCCTCACTTATTTGGCTTGGCATTGACATTAGTTCTTCGAATGTGCTATTCTTCAGCGAAAGATTTACAAGTGACCTAAGTCGTCCTTTTTCCCCTCTCCACAAAAGAAGACACCGTATCACACCAGCTAAAGCGTGAAATATTGGCAGATACTTGCATTGTGATGGATTCATTGCCGCCACCAATTCGTGAATAGCTATATGTATCGGAATTTGGACAGACACCAAACGCAACCCATAAGTCAGAGAGAGATAATTTACTGAAGAGAGTCACAGAGCTAGTCACTCCCATTTGTTGGTAGATTTTTTCTCTTGTCTCAAAAAGAATTAATTGTTGTGCCAAGAACGAAAACAATTCTTATTTTCATTTACTCGAAGGAAGTTGTACCTCGTTCTCTCTTTTTTCACATGGCAATTTTTAGGCTAACAGATCAGTATGTATAAAAAACCACGTCCACGCGACAGTTTTGAGTAGATATATGGTGAAAAATATGATCTGCCAGGATTTAACATTTGTACCACAGCTGCGCCATCGAAAATAGTAGCATCAACTGTGGCGGTGGGTTAGGTATGTACTCTTTTCAAACAACGATGTTTTTAAATCTGCTTTGGTTCCGAATCCCATTTTGCCTCCACTTAACAAAGATGGCGGAGTCGCATGATTCTCGTGTGAAAAGAAGTCTCAATTGCGGACTTCATATGATATGTAAGGCCGAGAGAATAGGGGACAATCGCTTTTGAGGGAGGCAAGCTGCTTTTTTCTGTTTCGAGTTATACTTGATAGGTGGTCTGTTAAACAGAGATAAATAAATCATACTTATTCTGCATTAAAAATTAATTCTTTGTCTGTGTTTTATACGAAAACGATACCATACAAGCCCTAGTAGCATTAAATGATCAGTACAAAAATAATGTAGCCAATGATCGAGACTTCGTCTCCCTCCCGTTGCGCACAGGGGACGAATCAGACGTCTGAAAATGATCATATAAAAAAATCCTATCCATGGTAGAAATTTGATTCCTCTACTGTACTGCACTACCTATCCATATCGTAGGTACAGATTATTGTAGTTAATCTGTGCCGTAGGTTAAATGCGAATCAAATTTACAGTAACTAACAATCGCAAGATACATAATATATTTATACCTATAGTAAGATCTTGATTAATATTCAATATAAGAGCGTCCTAATTTCATTTTGAGGCTCTCAGGGTATTTCAGTGTCTAATGTTTGTACATTTTATTCTAGAAGATAGTAGGTTACCTAACTACCACACATTTTAGTTTATTTCTATTTAGGAGGTTGCAAGCAACTTACTCTATAAATTAATTGGTTAACCTTGAATTTATGACCCGAAAAAGGGCGTGGATAAGAATGAAATTTGTTCTATTTTTTAGGATGCGCTCATGTAGCAAGACACACGCCGACATCCTCAAGACGTCCATCAAATGTTCGGACCTTGGTACTGTTCAGATATGACGCCAAAGTCGCACGGCCATCACCAAAAATGATGGTATTCAACCCTCTTCGAGGTATTTCATCCACTTCACACGACGAAGAACATGAGGTAGTTTTCTGATCACTAAAAATGAACTTTTAGTTTCTGGCACTATATGCGTACTGCGCAGGAGGCTTGCCTAGGATGTTGTTGCGTCGTATTTGCACATTCAATGACTTGATGTATATTGTAGGTATTTTTTATTATACCATGGTAGGTATATTCTTTTCTGATTGCAAATTGGAATTTTAATGTAAGGGAAGGCGGTTGGGAATAATGTACTAGAGAAACGGTTATCTCCCCAATATGTATGAAAAAAGTAACCCTGTGTAAAATTTAAATAAAGGAACCGCATTTGAAGGAGCAAAATTACCAGACATTTTAAGTTTAGTAACTTGTAACTGGATTAAACGTTTACATTGTTGACATATGAAGTAGGTCCCCGGGTGCAGGCCTCACCTGTCCACCCTTTTTGGAAACGTCTAAAACGAAATGAAAAATGATATAAGTATAACTTTGAAAGTGTCTTATGAGACTTTCTCCTTCTTTTAGAGGATTAGCGAAATTAGCAAAACGCCCTGCATAAAATCAATCATAAAAACAACAGGGTTTTATATCATATACCTATATGTAAAACCCTAATTGATGACAGATTCTGTATTATAACGATGCTGCATATAAACATCCCGGATTTATGTTGGTTTGCACGTAATTAGGTTAAATGGCGCATTTACTTTCCTTAAAAGGCAAATATGCCTAATTTTTCTTTTAAAAAGACAGTAGGTAATTAGGGTTACGACGGTTTTTAAACAAAGAATTGGGGTCAGCACGATTGACATTTCGTTTTTAGCTAATTGATTTGGTTTGGATGAACGTTTTTTTAGAACAAATGTCTAATTGTTGGATAATTTGAGGGTACTTAGCAGGCACGTGCGGTTTTTGATACACGGTTTAGATTTTGAAGTTTTGTCAATATTTTAGAGTTTTTATGAGCTTGTATGCTTTGTCGTCTACCTTAGGAGCTGAAACAAAGCCTTTGCCGCTGTGCTCTAATTCCATATAGCATTAAGGCGAACCGCCCCCAAACGGTATATACACCATTATTTTTAAGATGCAAAATTTTTTTTGTGCATGTAAATAGGTACATAGACGTATGTAAGATTAAATAATCTGCAAATGTATGCATATAACGTGATGCTGCATCAATGTACCCATGCGCCCTTCATTGATCTGCAAGAAACCGGGAAGGTGTAATACTCGACATGCGTTACGGCGTAATTCGTACGTTAGAGGAGCTATACTCGTATAAAATAGGTCAGTGATAGGTTAGGACAAAATCTATTGCTCTACAGCATCCCTTCCGCTACGGGTCGGGCAGTGGGCTAACGGTAGCGCAGTAGCAATTCGCAGGAGGAACAGCCGACCGCAATGGCTTCAGTATACGAATGTGCAAAGTAAGCGCCAGCTAATAAAAATGAAGTAACTTAACCACAAACTAATCGTTAACATATAAAAATATATGTATATACATGTGTATGTATGGTATGTGGCGTACAGATATACATAAGTATATATGTATATACCATAAACATAAATTTCTGAATTGTATAAAATGAAAGTGAACTAACAAGATTACTCCATAATGTTAAACACGCTTAACATAACAAAATCAATATAATATGAACCGCAATAATAAAACATTCTAACAATAAAAGCTAAAGGTAGTTCTTGCACGGCACTGGCGCGAGTTTTCTACTCTCCATGGACAGTGGCATGCAGCAATGTCAGTTCGATTGCGGCACCCGAGCGCTCACTTTTATTGTCTTCTTGCACATCTGCCTGTCGCTGCCCAACGGTAGGCAATATGCCGGTCTGTTTCCCTGAATGCCCTACATTCACCCAAATGCCTGCATCTACCACATTCGCTTGCTTTCTATTTAGTTGACGAGATAATCTTCATCCACAGCAAGTATATAGTGTTATTGTTTGTTGCAGGGTAGATTTTAATAAGATTCACATTTTTTAGTTCCTCTTTCTTTGCATTCGAGTAGACCTAGAGTAAACTTGTTAATAACGATCGTTTTCAGTATTGTTTTCAGCAAACAATATAATTGTAGTGCGGTCAAAATAAAACATATTAGCACCGCTATACGCTGTGACGATGCGCTAAATGAATAAAATTGTGTTCTAGAGTCGTCAGCGGGCACCAACGAAAAGAGACTTCTTCACAAACTTTTGGATCATTATAATGTGCTGGAGCGGCCTGTTGCAAACGAATCTGATCCTTTACAGCTCAGCTTTGGGCTTACATTAATGCAAATTATAGATGTAGTAAGTGATAATACCTACCATTTACCTATATCGCATAACTTGTACGGCCAATTTCTAGGATGAAAAAAATCAGCTACTGATCACCAACATCTGGCTCAAGTTGGTAAGAATTTTAATATTTATGAGTTTCCAAAATCGCAAACGTAAAACCGTTTAATAATAGATTAATTTGACGCCGTATGCACAGTTTCAATTCCAAAAATCAATACAAAACGACATGCTGGTTTAAAAACGTTTCATAGGTTCTCCGTTCGAACAACGCGTTGATTAAATCAAAGAACGCCCGACAGGTGCAATTGAAAGTTATAACGTTCCAAATTTTAAGCTATCTTCAAATTTTCAACTACAAAAGCTTCACGCGTAGCGTACGTTGTAAACATGTCAATATAGTTACGGGAAACGACCACTTTGTTCCTAATTGGGTTAAAATGTCATTGCCTACAAATTGGTTAGATGTGACTAAATAATTTAATAATAAATGAGTAGTTTGAGTCTCGATTAACGCGATTAAAACAACTCAATCGAGAGAGTAAACATCCGTGACTTTTAGGAATGGAACGACGTGAATCTCCGATGGAATACTTCAGAATATGGAGGCGTGAGAGATCTTCGCATTCCACCGCATCGCCTTTGGAAACCAGATGTACTTATGTACAACAGGTATTAATCCCTTTCCTTTCCTTATTTACGCCAAATTTTGCGTTATGCAGCGCCGACGAAGGTTTTGACGGCACATACCCTACGAACGTTGTTGTGAGAAACAACGGGAGTTGCTTATATGTTCCACCAGGCATATTCAAAAGTACTTGTAAAATTGATATTACATGGTTTCCGTTCGACGATCAACGATGCGAAATGAAATTTGGTAGTTGGACGTACGATGGTCTGCAAGTAGGTGGCCAATTGTTTTTGATATTTCGCCTTAATTTTACCGTTTTAGCTTGATTTGCAATTACAGGACGATGCTGGCGGAGATATAAGTAGTTTTATAACAAACGGCGAGTGGGATTTACTAGGTGACTTTATCTGAATTTTTCTGCGTCTAATAGTTTTTCCATTAGGAGTCCCCGGCAAAAGAAATGAAATTTATTATAATTGTTGTCCGGAGCCTTATATCGATATTACATTTTACATAATAATTCGTCGTCGAACCCTGTATTATTTTTTTAATTTAATAGTTCCGTGTGTATTAATAGCTTCCATGGCAGTACTGGGTTTTACACTGCCACCAGATTCTGGAGAAAAATTATCCCTGGGAGTGACTATTTTGTTGTCCCTCACAGTGTTCCTCAATATGGTCGCAGAAACTATGCCAGCCACTTCGGATGCGGTTCCTCTTCTAGGTATAACCGACATTATTCGCAAGTTTGTCAACTTCTATTTTAGGTACATATTTCAATTGCATTATGTTCATGGTAGCGTCTTCCGTGGTATCAACCATCCTCATTCTAAATTATCATCACCGTAACGCCGATACTCACGAAATGTCGGCATGGGTATGCTCGATACGTGTAAAATCTGCATTAACTTGATCTTCCAGATAAAAATTGTCTTTCTGTACTGGTTACCATGGGTATTACGTATGACTAAACCACGCCATAATTACGAATACCAAAATCCTAGTAAACCAGTACCGCTTGTTGCCGATCGTAAACCCTTAAATCTTCAAGACGTAGAACTGAAAGAACGTTCATCAAAAAGTCTACTAGCAAATGTATTAGATATCGATGACGATTTCAGACATAATCACAGAGGAGGAGGTACTCCAACCCCACTACCAAGCGCGGCGTTCTTTCGGACAGTATACAGGTAAGCAATTTTGTAACAAAACCCCAACTAGTAATTGACGATCGTTGCAGACAAAACGAAGACAACGGGAATGGCGGACGATTACACGAATCGCTTGTATCGAATCATACTTGCCTCGGAGCCGACTATGAACTAGCATTGATTCTTAAGGAAATTCGTTTCATTACGGATCAGTTGCGTAAGGAAGATGAGCACGCGGACGTAACTAGAGACTGGAAGTTCGCGGCCATGGTGGTTGATAGACTGTGCCTTATTATATTCACTTTATTCACGATCATCGCGACCCTTGCGGTGCTTTTTTCGGCACCGCACATTATAGTGTCGTAGCAATTCCGTGTTGAACTGCAATTCTTATGCCTCCTTGCCAGAACCCCACACTCAAGAGTTAATAGGTATCGCGTACGAATACTTGGGCACACGTCACTTTCGTCCTCGCTACTAACGATTGATTCCAAAGCTCGCGCTACCAACTCGTGCAATTTGTTTTAAATAGGTAATGATTTCCTTTCGGTCTCGTTCTCTTTAGGATTAACACAATAATACTGTGATAATTCGAGTTAAATATTGAGTTAGATTTTCACATATGAGCACTGCCTTGCAACGTACCACTGTTTAGAGAGCAAACATTTTTTTATTACACAAAGCTACTTTCGAAGTACCTACAAAGATTTTTTAAGCAACGCTCATATGTAAAACCGTGAGATGTTAACGCGCAGCGAAGAGCTCAACTACAGAGCTCTCTGCTTCGCATTGTTAATTGAAAAATTGTTAATGGCATTTTGTATTTTATGAATAACCTGTAGATACTCAAAATATCGCAAATTATATTTTTCTCGTAGATGAAAGGTATGATTAAAATTTCTAAAGGCAGTAAGGCATAAACGAAGAATAGGTATATATCTATAGGCGTCGATTTTATTATGGCGTTAACTTAGTTACGAGGTCATTTTTTTCGTACATCGTTTCAAGTCTAATACATATCAGTATGTATGTACTCAAAATTCTTTAATTTTCGAAATTGAACTTTTGGCTTTTTTCTCAAGTTCACACTGGCTACAACCTATCGGCACCTATGGATACGTTAGTGAATATAATTTTTTTCAAGAAGATTAGCATGCTATGTAGAATTTGAATTTCTCTATATCCTAATATATACCTACTTGAAGTTTAAATGTACTTGGAGAGAATGACTGGTACAAAAATGCACTTAAAATTCTTACATATCCTTTTCATGTAACGTTTTACCATTCTACACAATTAAACTTCTTGTATGGCACGAATTCGTACGACATCGCCTTTAAAATCCTAATTCATATAAAGTTTAAATGCAATTGACTCGTTCTTTTGACTCTCGTTTTAAAATGGAAGTTGCTCAATTTATAAAAACTTTACACCTGAAAACATTTTTAAACATACGGGAGTCGTCATATGGATCGAGATCGTACGCATTTAAACGTTTTTACTTGTTCATAGTCTCCACGATACATAAGACAATACGAGTCATGATGTTATTTTCACACCACTACCCAAAGAACCAGCATCTTTCCACAAAGGCAATACGTACATAGTACACAATACATTAAAATCTTGATCATATTTAGCTAGAGAATAAATGGATGAATGAAACATAATAGGTTAAGTTGAAACGCAGAGTCATCTATCTCTCCGAATGGTTAAAAAAACGGCTGACAGCAGTTGGATCGGGAGTATTTTGCAATACTGATTTTCGAAAAAATCGGTGCCGCACAATCTAAACACTCCTGTTTGATTATAAAACTGTTTCTGCAAATTTTCACAGTGGAGTAATAACATTTCATTGTTACTTATACTATTCTTACTTTTAAGAGTAATACAAATAATGACTGGTTTAAATTAAATATGTTTGAATAAACGACAATCCATTCTTGATCGCATCGCATCAAACACGGAACTTGGAAAAAGTGGAAAAGTTTAAAAGTCACAATTTCAAATCAATACACAGTTCTGTTTTGCAATGCGACAAGTATTGTTTTTTACCGCAATTGTTGTAATATTGTATCACAATGGATTGTACTTTGTTAAAAGAATTAACAATAAACGACTATTTCAAAAATGTTCCGTCTTTTAATATACGAGCGAAACCTAATAATTCAACCCCAAAACTAAGCCATTTGCGAAAAAGCTTTGTACCTATTTCACGAAGTCAAGTGAGTTCACCACTCCAGTGGCGGGTAGGTCGCAGAAAATTCACCCTCTCGCGAATAGTACAGATACACCCATGTCGCCTTTGTATACGCAAGTTCAAAATTATACAGCGATCGATTGTGCCAAAATCGTCATTGGCTCTTTTCCTTGCTCCTGCGCTTTTATAGTCTGCCATCTAGACATAGTCTAAATAATTAAATCCGTGGGGGTGGTGTCATACTAGGATGCACGCTGTCGTTCTCGGAATGACTCGAAGGGTGTGTGCGTGACCGTGCCAAAAGCGAGTGTCGTTGTGCTATGGTGAATAAAAACCATCATGTTACGATCACATAAGTGGTATTTAAAAGAGTTTCCCGTGGTGCGTCACGCGGAGACTCATACTCCTATTCTAAATATACACATGGACTTCATTTGCCGTGTATTGCCTCGATGATTTGGTAAGAACAGCTAAGAGCAGCGCTCGCGATGTTGAGGACTATAAAATTATTGCCGTTTTTGTTCTTCGCAATGAATCTAATCGTACTAGGTAAGATTGCCGGCACACCCACTGCTGCACGCTGAGCTACATGTAAACATTGCCCCTCCCCTCTAGTTCGAAACAAAGAATTGACGCCTTATTTCAACAATACCATTACTCCTCATCGCCCTTTATTTAGCATAATTGTTTCCAGTGTCCAAAGTCGTAAAGTATTTTTGGAGAATAAATTTTAGGTGGCTGTTCCGAAGACGAAGAACGTTTGGTGCGCGATCTATTCAGAGGATATAACAAGTTAATTCGGCCAGTTCAAAATATGACAGAAAAGGTTGATGTTCGCTTCGGCCTTGCCTTCGTTCAATTAATTAACGTGGTATGTACATTAAACATAAACATGAAATGGATTTTAGTTAACACGCTTTCAGAATGAGAAGAATCAAATTATGAAGTCAAACGTATGGTTACGTTTGGTGAGTCTCATTTCCCTTGGTTATAGATACTAATGAAACCTTTTAGGTGTGGAACGACTACCAGCTTCAATGGGACGAAGCTGACTACGGTGGAATAGCTGTACTGAGATTGCCTCCAGATAAAGTTTGGAAACCCGACATAGTGTTGTTTAACAAGTACGCATTGTGGTAAATATTTACGATTGGTCACTATAGGAGTGTAATTTTTCTAGTGCTGATGGGAATTATGAAGTAAGATACAAATCAAACGTTTTAATTTACCCGAACGGCGAGGTTTTGTGGGTACCTCCAGCAATTTATCAAAGTTCTTGTACAATAGATGTTACTTATTTTCCTTTTGATCAACAAATATGTATAATGAAATTTGGTTCTTGGACTTTTAATGGTGATCAGGTCTCCCTTGCGTTGTATAACAACAAAAACTTTGTAGATTTATCCGATTATTGGAAATCTGGTACGTGGGATATTATAGAAGTTCCCGCCTACCTCAACATATACGAGGGTCATCATCCTACGGAAACTGACATTACATTTTATATTATCATTCGTCGCAAAACTCTATTTTATACCGTCAATTTAATACTTCCTACAGTGCTAATATCGTTCCTATGCGTTCTCGTATTTTATTTACCAGCGGAGGCTGGCGAAAAGGTATGGCTAATCGACTACGACCCCTTTAACTCTAACGTCTTTTTATTAGGTTACGCTGGGAATAAGTATTTTACTATCTCTAGTGGTGTTCTTGCTGCTAGTATCAAAAATCCTGCCACCAACTTCCCTTGTGCTGCCGCTCATTGCAAAATACCTCCTGTTCACGTTTATCATGAACACAGTTAGTATCCTCGTTACAGTAGTTATAATTAATTGGAATTTCCGAGGTCCGCGAACACATAGGTTTGTTGAACCGAAACGCCCAACGTAGTTTATAAAATATTTTTTAGGATGCCTTCATGGATACGTTCGATTTTTTTAAATTACCTACCGGCTATGCTGTTGATGAAACGGCCTCGTAAAACGAGGCTTAGATGGATGATGGAAATGCCCGGCATGGGAGTACCACCTAATCCGTACGGCTCGCCGGCAGATATTCCCAAACATATAAGGTAAGTTTTACGGTTGTTTGACGGTTTTAACGTTATAATTTCAGTTCGATTGAGCCTCAGAGCAAAGTAGAAGTAATGGAACTCTCTGATCTGCACCATCCGAACTGTAAGATAAATAGAAAGCTCAATTCCGATTTAGGAGTAGGATCCGAAAGCTGTAGAAGAGAAAGTGAAAGTTCAGAATCAATTTTGCTAACGCCGGAGGTTTCGAAGGCAACGGAAGCGGTCGAATTTATCGCGGAGCATTTACGTAATGAAGATTTGTACATTCAGGTATGTCAAGAACTACGATTTGACCTTTTTTTCTTAATCTGGTGTGTTTCAGACAAGGGAAGATTGGAAGTATGTGGCTATGGTAATTGATAGATTACAACTGTACTTGTTCTTCATTGTAACAACTGCTGGCACTGTGGGAATCCTAATGGATGCACCTCATATATTTGAATACGTAGATCAAGATAGAATTATTGAACTATATCGGGGTAAATAGAACAAATTTTGGTGGCCTTTGTTCATAACAGTTGGCTTCCTTGTAATTGGCTAACAAAATCATGTGGCTTCCATGAGTGCGCATGGGATGGATCCACTACGTATAGCAGCTGCGGTTTTCAATTAGAGGTTTTCCTTCGTCACAATGTGGTGCCTCTTTACTCGATATCACAGTATTTTATATGACGGAATGTTACACATACTCACACACGCTTAAGTACCACACGCGCATGTGCACTATATAGTGATACATTAGTTCTAATACACGGTGAAACGCACTTCAAGAAGTATAAGTGGAAGAAAATTCGTTGAAACATTTTATTTAAACCGCAACAATCATTAAAAAAGACATAGTGACTGCCATTCGAAACTATTAGTTTGTGCAATCGTGCCCGGCCCATGACAGTTTCACTACACTTCTGTAGTGTACATTCAAGATCCACTGTTTTGACGAAAGCACATCTCCACCCGACCGCAGCGGCGACGAAGACGTACTACTAATTTAGTGAAACTGTGAACTAATACAACATCCCCGGGTGAGTTCGTGTCAACAGTCAAATATTAATACTGTAATATGTATAGACTATAGGGTAGACTAAAAAATACGGGCAGTGTTATACTGTAAATAATGTCGCACTACTTTTTTGGTTTTCATTTTTGAAGGAACTCGATCGCCGTGGCAATTTCATTGTTTATGTTTATTTATTAATATATAACATATTAATAAATAATGAAATAACGAAGGTGACTATAGAGTTCTAGCTTTATTGCTCTGACCGAACTGCCATATCAAACTGTTTCTTCCATAGGATTGACACTCAATACCTACTTCCTTTGCACACTGTAAAACGCAGTCTTACAACATTTCGAATGAAGAGGTAATAGACATAATGAATGTAATTAATATATAAATGATCGCTATAGGCACTATTAAATTGTTTTTTATAAACTTTTATAAGGGTCTTCCAAATTTACAGAGGTACCATACCATTTTTTTAAGATGCAGTTCTACGAAAAAACGTGCCAATAGTTATCAGAATCTTAATATCATATTGTTATTACATATAGTCTGTTACGACAAACGTAGAGATAACATTTTTAATAAACGCGTAGGACCCACATATAAGTACCGTATAGCGCTGCCTTGTGTTTCAAACACATTACCGCTTGAAACACAGAATTGACTATTTAATACAATCAATAATAATCATTTATCTGTTAAAATGTTAATGTACCAAACGGATGCATTTACAATAAAAATACGCAGAATAATTGTTATTATTCTTAGTTTAATTTGAAACAATGTTGTAACAGTACCTATTTTGATACTCAGGGCCTCAGAGCCGGATTTGTAATACAGAAAGTGTCTTGTTATGTGATGTGACGTGAGTTCTTTACGTTTAGAAATGCGAAGAAAACGTGATGATCTTGACGAAATTTGCCAAATTGATCGATAACTGGTTCAAAATTACGTCGCATATGTTACCCACCCGAACTGGCGTTAAATTCAATATGTCTGTTTAACATTTGTGTTGGGGTATCCAATTGTTAGATGCATCAATTGCCGTAAATTTCTATACCTATGTAAGATATAGACGTCAAAAAATCTCCGATGAAAAGCAGTTTGTACTATTTTGTCGTGTGGTAAATGGGGGTAACTAATATTTTTAACATGGATAATAATTTAATTGTTTTTGAAGAACATAAATTGTAATTATTAATTGTAACATATCACTACACGTATTACCTATCGTATTACGTAGTAATTCGAGTCGAATTTTAGGAAGAAGTACAATTGATAGCGGATGTACTGTTCTTCAATGCCACACTTGCACATAGACAGTATGTATCAGTCAAATAGAATAAATTGGATAATAAATAAATGGGGATATGTTTATAAAAACCCCTCAATACGTCGATTGACAATTTTGGTTGTGCAATTGTTTCAAAAAAGACCTTTTATCTAATATTATGTCATGTAACCGTGGCCAATACCAACGTTTTAGTTTATGGTATTCCTGTAGGTATACCTATTATTCAATTTATCGGTCTATGATGTTTCATCGTCGCCGTTTCATCGTTGCCGTTTCATCGCGGCCGTTTCATCGTGGGCCATTTCATCGTCGGCTTTGCATAGTACCTAGATCTGCGCATATTTTTATGGATTATTTACGATCAAAAATAAAATGGACCAACAAAAGGAATAAAATATTCTATTGCATCTAACGTTACCCTTATTGATGTAAATGAAATGAATAACTAACTAAAATTGCGTTAAGATTAGGTTTCATCGATAATTTTTCGCTCATGAATATATTTGCCCTATGGTTCGCAACTTAAAGCAAAATAATAACGGAATAACAAACAATGGGCGGTTGAATCCTAGCGACATGTTGTTCATAATAGGTATCTCTATAGCCTTTTGCACTTTCGAAGTCCATCTATCAACTTCCAAATGCTGGGAATTGGGATGATCAACTTCCAACTCTGTCTCCAGTCGTAGAGAGCAGCTCTGCATATAATCTTCGTGATTAAATACTCGGTCATATAAATTCTATATTTGGGGAGGAAGTAAACCTGGACGTCTACCAACGCCACGCCTATTTGATCGTCCGATGTAGTATCTTCTAACCAATCTAATAACGGTTGTAACTCGGCAGGCAACTCGTTCTCGTTAAGTGCAATCGAATATTTTATTCCTTTTGTAGGTCCGTTTTGATCTTGATATTAATTAACAGTAAAAATATGAACAGGCCCCCTTTGAAAAGCTGACGTTGAAACGGTCTACGATGAACCGGCCCACGATGAAATGGAGACGATGAAACGGCTACGATGAATCGGCGACGATGAAACGTCCTATCCCGGCACAGACCGCTTTTGTTGAAAAAAAAAGTGCATCTAAAAGTACAAATCAACGTTTTCGAAGGTTTTTTTTAACTCGTCTCCATTTACTCATTACCGAATTTTTTCCATTTGGCCGCCACACACTGCACTAGAAAATTTCGAAGAAAATAGTCGAGACAATTTATTTTGTGAATGGGTATATTTGCTACACAAATTTGCTGTAGTTAGCACACCTACGCATGGGCGATTCTGCCCGAGAGCTTTAGAGTTCTTCCTTTTATGTCTAACAATATGTGTACCAAATTTGGTTCCAATCGGTTCAGCCGGAAATGAGAGTACAGACAGACCCACAAATCGTATTTGTTATTTTTCACTCACAATTGATAACATAACACAAGCGCATCGCAGTTGGAAATGAACGCGAAACTCATTTCAATTTGCTTATATAGCAAACACCATTCTTTCTAGAATGTTCTCAATTGCTTAGGGCGCTTCAGAATGTTCTAGAAATTAACACGTCATATTTGTCCATGAAAGATTGCGTCATATCCGCCTTAGTTCTTTATCGCAGATAACTAATCTTTCATGGTGCCTCGATGTGTATCGGCATTTCTGAAATATTCGCTACACTCTTGAAACTGTTGCGGGCGACGGTTGTACCTCTGGTTTTATAGCGCGACCTTGATAGCGGTACTTGCACAACGCCCCTGCTCCTGTATGAACACACTTTACCAACCTTCGGATGTAGAAGGTAGATTTCTCTTAAGCGCCCAAACCAAAACTTGAATTCTTCGGCATATTCCGCTAGTGCCTCAAACAAATCTTTACATTCCTCACGGACAACACCAAAACGTGCCCGTGGTGTTCCAGAGTAATGTGCCATAAATTCCGTGAAAGTGAATTGTCGTGGTCTCGCTTGAATCACATTCGTTGCTTCCTGTTCCTCGGGTTCGTTCTGTCCCGCGTATATGGAACCAACCGATTGATCTGCACTACCACTGGTTTTCCTCGTGGTAGTCTCCGTATCCAATATATTGAGTCGTTATTCGCTTCACAACTATATACGGTCCTTCCCAAGCTCTTTGGAATTTTGGGTATTAGCCGCATCTCCTCTGGGGGCGACGGATGATCTCCATCGGTTGCAGTGCAACCAAACGTACATATTCCGATCGGAATTTGCCGGGATCCATCCTGAATTAAATATTTTTAATAATCAAAATGCAGATTTACCAGATTTACTGGAATCTGGTAGCACAGATCAGACCAGTTCAGTATCACCCGTTTAGGATGTTTAGCTTCGCCATGAAATTGTGACTACTAAGCCCCACCACCACGACAAGGTGCATCCCATGGTGGGGTCGGGTCTTGTATCAAACTTCAAACCACACGGCAACCTGAGTACCCGGCCAAACAACACGGAAGCTGGACTCCTGTAGTTTCCTACACCGCCGAACGGTTCGTCATCAGGAACAAATGCAGATATTCATCCCACGCTGATGGTGGGGCACAGCTTTTGACAAGTACTTCTCCATTGTGCTATTCATTCTAGCGTTCTACAATTTTGTCTGACTATGGGTGTAAAGCAGTGATTCTGGTCTTGCGAATGTCCAATATCGTCTCTGGTCAGAGTGTAGTTACAGGTGTACTCAAAATCTGCTAAAAAGTTCTTTTACCAGAACGTCTCCACAGTTGTCGCTTCTTGACTTGGTAGAGCATATGCTTCTGTCAATTTACTGAAATGGTCCATGGTCACCAAGATGTTTCCGGCAGCTGTCTCTGGGAAGGGACCTGTGACATCAAAGGCTACAGGTCACTTTCTTGAGCTGTCCGGAGTTCTTGGGGTGCCCAACCATCATGCACAGGTACTGTCCCACCGTGCAACTTGGATGACAGTCTCCGGGGTGCATTCAACTTGTTCGCTTCTTTCCTTTGATCCGTTCCGGTTTTCCCTGGCTATTGGTCGCGGTACTGTTGGGACATTCTTGTTCTGTGTCGGTTTTGACTACGGCAATACTCGTACATAAATTATTTACGTAGTTAGTTCATTTTGTACTGCATGAATATTATTTTGGAAACTGTCTCTCGTTTTAGACACTCTATATAGCATTTTGAATCCCTTATTTCTTGTTGACCGGCTTCGATTGTACCTTCCATTGATTGTTGACTTTTCAACCTGACCAGCTTGGAATTTAGCTTGCATGGTCTGTTGGCCGGGTTTCATCCCTTACCTTAAGTAACCGAAATTGTTCTTTTTTTCTCATGTCACTACCAGCATAAACTTCCACTAACTGCCACACAACCTCACCCCTGACACCAGCGTAACAAATTTAATTATGCGATTTATTTATTTATAAATAAAACAATAAATGTATAACATTCTTGAAATGAATTCACTTATAACAGTTAAAATATTATTTATCACTCACATATACACAGTTCATAAAAGCGCGAACTATTTATTACGTCGACGTTAAAATTGGAACCATCCTGGAACGCAATTCGATTTGCTTACCTATATAGGAAACTCGAGTGCTCTTGAGTGCTTCCGAATGTTCTCGAACATTCTAGAACAATACATATCATATTTCCCGGAAAAATTTTGTCACATCAGTCTTCGTTCTTTATCACCGATGACTAATTTTTCATAACGCCCCGATGTCTATCGGGATTTCCGGAATATTCGATGAAAACTGTCGATTTCCAAAAAAATAATTATCTCCTTAATTATAAAAGTTACGAAAACAGTTGAATAAGAAATTTGCTTATAAACAGAATCTCTAAATGAAATTTAACAAAAAAACGGCGGTTGCTAACGTATGAATACCATCCAAATTTAATTATTTTTACATTTTTAATTCTGTATCAGTTTAATAATGAATTATTATTTAGTCGATCATACGTTACCTTTCACTATTGAAATATTGCACCAATTAATAAAAATGGTTGGCGCAATATTGAATTTTTGGATTGTAAAAATCATAATGATGATAGCAATATCAGCAATCAGCGGCGGATTCGCAGCCCTGGCAGCTCTAGGCCTTGTAAGTGTTCCAGGCGCCTCTTCCTTCTAATTTTAGAGCATGAAATTGCAAAACCATAAAATTGAACTCAAGCTAATTGTGGAAACAACCGCCCGAAAGTTCTAGCCGCCCTAGTTCCGGGCATTGTTTAAATGCTTTCTTACGATCCCAGTCGGCCTTATGGAAATCTCGCCACGTCACTTGAATTTAATAGTGTTTTTAATGAAACATAACTACGTATACCATAATATAAATAGTCTGTACTGTATTTTATATACTTAAGATCCAATGAGCCAAAGTAGAATAGTTGTCCGCGTATCAATTCTTTGTTTATAAATAGCCAAGACTAAACGTAATTTCATTTATTTACATCGCTCCACAGTAATCGTAAGGCGGTCGATGGACCGGATCGGGTCGCCTAGAATTATACGTTAAAAGCATTAAATTAAAATAAAAGGCATGACATTGCAATTACTCCTGGAGTAAAATAGTAAGGGTGTTGGTATTTGGAATGGAAGTACTCAAAACCCACACACTTCTAACAAATTGCTTTAGACCATATAACACTTGTGCGACCCAGAAAGCCGTTATTTTTTTAGAATCTTATAACGCAGTGATAATGTTCGCAAGTTAATAATAATGTCATTTAATGGACGTACTTCCAGCTCAATATATATAATATGTAATAATAAAACAAAAAAAAATTGTAAAAAAAGTCCAAAGGGAAGAAGTTCAGTCTTGCCAAATTTGGGTGACTGTTCTACCACTTAATCCCAAGACGAGAGTAAAGTTACTTGGAAATGGTGTACAAGTAATTTAAAGTTATCAACGGCTAAAGTTTTGGATGAATCAGGTAGCTCATTAAAACACTTCGTAATGTTGCATTAAAAAGATCGCGTGTATAGCTGCGATTTATGAATTTGTGATAAAAACCGTATTTTATTATTGATTAAATATACTCTATTGATTCATACTTACGAATGCCAAAAATCAATCGTAAACAAGAATTTTGTATTTTTTGAATTCTTATTTTGGTACCACTATCAAGACAGGGCCCATATACAGAATCACAAAAATTAAATTGGGACAAGACTAGCGAATCACAAAGAAGCATTTTAGTTATATAAAAAATATTTTTGGTTATAAATTAGTTTAAGATTGCACGAAGGAATGTGATCTGAAAATCTTAACTTAGAGTCGAGCAAGACTGTAGCTTTGTTGGAATTAAACCATGTGATTTGGAAAATTCAACTCCACATCTTTATTAATAACGCAGATTGCAGTGCCAATATTATTTTCGTGGAAAATGTGATGCAGTTAGGTGTCATCTGCATATAAAATTATATCTGCATTGTAAACAGCTACCGAAATTAGATGTATATTAGTATATAACAAGGGACCAAGAATTGATCCTTGGGGAACACCGCCTGTAATGGGAAGATGTTGCATTATTTCAAATAACTCTTTACTGACGACAATGGAGATAATTACCGATAAGTGCCATGGACGCAGTGTCCAATCTAACAAAATACAAAATTGCTATAAGAGTGCGATGACTTAGTCTAACATTACTAGACGGGTTAACATGCCCCTATCAGTGGCAGTCAGAATACCATCAGTAATGTTGAGCAATGCTATGGTGTAGCTATAACCTTTTCTAAATCCTGATTGTCCATCTGGGAGAATATTGTACCTATTTTCAAGAACTTGTTAGACAATACCGACAGAATGCTAATTGGCCGTAGAAAATCTTTAGAAGTTAGGTGACCAGTACTCCAACCAGTTGTTCCCGCTTAACTAATCTGCTGGAGGTAAGTGCTAATTAAAAATGATATTTTACGCTATGTAAATGTTTTGGCGAGTGATAATTTCACTTATGATCCTTCAGTGTTCTACTCATACATTGTTTAATTAAAGAAAGACATTTATTGTTATTACTACCTGGGATGTGAAGGTCAGGGTACAAAAACTTTGCTGAATTTAGAGTGAAAGATGTTTCATTTGTGCAAAAAGGAGATCTATGGTTAATAGTATAACTCAAATTCTTAACAAATGTGGAGATCCAGAGGTTTGTTCCACAGATTTGCACCCCAAGTACCACTTTTTGAACCACTCTTCTGAAGCCTCAAACGTTTCGTGTGGAGGGTCACACTTTATCAGACGTGACAACTCAAGGTTTCCTATACAAGCTTCAGGGTTTTTTTTTATTTTTCATCACTCAACAATACAAAAAAAATTGTTCCTAATTTTGAAATTGGTGATAGGCATGCTTAGGTGAGACTATCTCTTGTTATTTCTAAATTTATTTTAGTACAAATATAGACGGGTTAATATCCAATTTGTTACCTCTTGGTTGCACGAACTCTCTTGAGAAAGTTCCACTAATATAAAAATAGTGCTCTGTACAATGAGACGTTACAGCTCATACGTACCTATTTATTGCTAAAAATATATAATATCGGCGCTTCCGGTAGTTTTAATAACTTAGATTAAAAATAAAAGTGTTTGATGTTCCCCGTTAATTGTATTGGAGATCTATTTTAAAAGAAAAATTAAAACATAAAACAAGATACTCTGTAACAACTTTTGCACGGAGTACAGGGGAAAAGGGAAATGCGTGTGTAATTTATAAATTGTTTGGCGCGTATCCCTAAGTTGGTGGACCGGGTGAGTTCTGAATTTGGTACACGTTGTCATCACAAACGACGACTTCATCTTAAACAACTCGAATCCATGCATTTTGGGCGATTTACGTCGTAGTTTTTTTTGCTGTGTTAAAACGTGCTATAAAAATAAGTGTTATAAATAAATACGAAGAATGTTTGCATTAAACACAGTTCGTACACACACTGCCTTAAGTTATGTAATGTGAAAATGTGGTGAGCATTCTCAGTTTATTGTGTGAACCTCTTTCACATATTTATAATCAAAATGCTTCCTGAAGATTAAGTGAAAATACTCCCTGTAATGACGTTGAGGAAGTAGGTCTGTTCCATTTCAGATATTATCTGGCTCAAATTTAGACGGCATCTGATCCCATACTAGTGCTATTGCGCTCATGCTATATATAGAGAACCCGTTCAAACAATTTACGGCGTTTTGCTGAAAAGTTACAGAGGTTAGAATAACTTATCATGTTTTTGTCGTAAGGATTGCACTCTTCTATAATGCATCATCTTTATCCACTTGCAAAGGGAGATCCCTTATGTCCGTTAGGATTTCATCCTCAAGTGAGATGGCCAACGCGTTGTAAACGTTGCTTTAGGTAGGAATATATACTGCTTACAAGTGTTACTAGCTAATTTGATTTAAGGGATTATAAAGAGCATGGTGGTAAAAGAAAGGAAGAAGAGCTGTCCCTCAAAAGAAACGACAGCACTTCTTCTTCCCCAAATTTAAACTCGTGGTCCATAAGGTCCGACGAACACCGACGTAGTTGGTCTTCTAATTCAAACCTAACAGAGGACCAAACGAGCAAGATCGCCGTGAGGGACGTGGGACCAGCATCTTGGACGTCAACTCCGGATTTGGCACATTTAGAAGATAGCACGCAAGCAAATATTCCAACAGTTAGTTTCACACTTCCCAAGAGAAAATCGTTAGAAATAAGTAGCAATACTCGCTCACGTAAGACCACGCTGTTATTGGAGGGAGTGTAACTTGCACAAATTTTCAGTGTCAGATAGTTTTTCAACTCGAGAAAAATCTCCAGCGTTTAATAAAAGCGAACATTCATCTACACGGGCGAAAAAAATTCAGGCCATCAAAGATGCTTCACAGGAAATGAGCAAACGTATTCAGATAAAGGAATTAAAAGCAACGGTGGACGAAAGCACTAATCATGATGTACAATTTCTTATTCAAGTAAATACATGTTATGTACATAGTCCACGCTTCAATGTCCTAATAACGGTCTAATAACGCCTTTGTTTGTTATTGTATTGTAAGCGCTGTTTCCTTAGTGCCGTCTTGCTAATCACTTTACCCATACTACGTTGTTCAATATTTCTTGCTAGGACCAGTACTAAAGCGATTCATGTAGGTTAAGTCCAAACCAAAACAAGAACAATTCAAATCTTTCCACGAAGGCACGGAAAGTGAAGACGACACAGTTAGCATCGCCGGAACCGAAACAACCGACACTACTTTGGTCGGTAATCCACATGAGCATGAAATGCAAGAACAAATTGACAGTTTAAGACAGGAGCTAGATGCTATGAAAACAAAATGTGAAAGGTTGGACAGAGAAAAAAGTGATCTCTTACTGCGACGCTTGGCTTCAATGGAAACCGTAACAAGCAAGACCACCGCAACCGAGGTACATATCCATGGTTTATGTCGTCATATTACTAAAATTCTGCTTCCAGGTATTAAAACTGCAACAAAAGTGTAACGAATTGCAGAGCCAAATTGAGGACAGTAGAGACGAAAAGAAGTTTCTAGCCTTGAGGGTAAAGGAACTGGAGGAGGATGTCGATAGTAGGCCGACGGCTCAGGCGGCACAAAAACATGCGGACGAACTTAGATCCAAGCTGCTGGCTGCAGAAACGTTATGCGAAGAACTCATGGACGAAAATGAAGACATGAAAAAGGAATTGCGTGACCTTGAGGAAGAAATTGAGGAACTACAGGATAATTTCAGGTAAGCCAGTGCTTCGTTATCTAAACGTAGATTTCGGTAATTCCCTAGAGAAGACCAAGCGAACGAGTATACGTCACTAAAAAAAGAGCTGGAGCAAACCACTAAAAACTGCCGAATACTTTCGTTTAAGCTTCGAAAGACTGAGCGAAAAACAGAACAACTAGAAGTGGAGAAAGGAGAAACCGAAAAGAAGTTACGCGAGGTAACTTCCCACATGTCCGAAGGCAATCATCTACTTCGATTGTTTCAGGTTTCAAACGGCAATAACGGCATGGAAAAAATTAAGCATCTGGAGCAAGGACTTAAGGTCGCCACTGAAACATCGTTGCGATTGCAGAAAGAACTTGATGAAACTACAGCCAAGTTACGTGCAATCGAGGAAACGAGTTCCAGCAAAAAAGCTTCCGCAATCGGAAACATTCCAAAATTGTCTTCGGACGCGGTACGAAACAAACATTAAACTATGATTCCAATACTACTGAACCCATTTTTTGATCGCAGAAAGTGTCACGAGAATCTCTAACGAGAGGTGGCTCACAAGATGACCCAGCGCAGATTTTGAGGGACCTGCACGATTCTCTGGAAAGAGAAGCAGATCTCAGAGAGCAACTGAAGTTTGCAGAAGAAGAGGTACAAAATAAAAATGTAGCGTATATTAATCACCATCTCAAAATTTTAATTAGCTTAACCGGTGGACCAGGAAAAAAATGCGACCGGTTATATTTACGCAGACTAACGATTCGTTTAAGTTTCAATTTCAAACGGATCACGAACTGAAAGTGAGAGAGAAAAATCAGAGATCTCTGGATGTACAAAATAAAGGTTGTCAAAGCGATCCGATTGAAATGTTTCACGTCAGCTGCCAAACTAGTGCAGTGTTCAAACCAAATCCACTATTTCCCATGTGGAATTCATCCATAAACTGTCGCGGATTTTCTATTCTTAGAATGTATCAACATACGTCTTCATTTTCTCCAATGGCTACCCTGCTTACCCCCATAGGTAATTGAGTTGTATTTTTACAGGCTCAAAATTTGCGCAAGAAAACTTCGCGGATAGAAGATGATAATGAATCCTTGGTATTACAGCTGAAGAAAATGGCTACAAAGGCTAAAAGTATGTTCAATCCTCACTCACAAATTTATTCTTTCAGTTGCATAATTAACAAAGCAAATTTTGTTTAAATTATTCCGCATAAATAACATCGCTTTCGTTACTAATATTTGCCCTCCTTTTAAATTTAACACCATAAGCCATTTTCTACAGTTGCCATGTTTTAATTATCATTTGACATATTTAATTAACGTGCAGTATTTCTTCTTTTATTTATATTACACTTCCCACAGACCGAAAGGGAAGTCCTAATCGACTCACCCCCGAACCAATTATCGAAAAGGATGAAGGCATTTCAGAAGATGATCCAACGGAATTGAAGCTACTCTTAGAACTAAATGACCAAGAAGTTTCAGTATTACGAAAAAAAGTAGAAGAATTAGAAGCGGAAAAGGATACGCATAAAAAGAAAATAAAGGATTTACAGGATAAGTTAACTACAAAAACGTCCAAGAAATCTTTATTAACTTCCGTAAAGGGCCAGGAATCCCAGGACAAGAAGTTAAAGGTAGTTGCAACCCCTAAGCTCCTGAGAAATAATATTCTTTTAAAGGTGTTAGAAGACGAAACGGTTAACTTAAAAAAGCAGCTGGCAGAAAAAGACAAAGAGACCGAAAGGCTTAGTGCGGAGCTAAATCTAACTCAAAAACGAACAAAGGGAATGCAAAAGAGCAAGTATGGTACCTATATACTCGTCCAATTTTACTAACGCAAATTTTAAGGTCACTAGATATAGCCGACCCACAATCACTCGATGTGAAAAGACAACTTCAATCGATCGAGCAAGAAGCTGTGGTTTTAAGAACAAAGATACAAACGCTAGAGAGTGAAAACGAAAAATTGGCGGCCGATAATAAACGGCTTCAGCTATTGCGAAATACAAAGACGTCAAAAAGCGAAAAAGCGGGCGAGAAATATATCGATAGAATTGCGGAACTCGAGGTGGAATTGGAATATGCAAACAAGAAAGTCAAAGAATTAGAAAACTCAAATGGGAAGCATAAGTCGAACGATAAAGAGGGAGAAAATAACAGGCAGAAACCATTAGTCCTTGCTAAACAGTTCAAAGACAGAATTCCTAAAAAACCTTCGGAATTCACCAGTAAAATCCAATTGAAAAATATGGTCAAAGATTTGGAAAGTGAAATTGGTTTGTAAATCGAATGGTAATGTAGTGTTATTTATATTTTTATTTAGGTGATATCTTGACAGCTTTGGCCAACGCCGAAGGTTCAAAAGGTAAATTAGAAGCTGAACTGCAAGAACTAAAGTCGCGAAGTAATAACATTGATCTAACTAAAAATCTCGAAGAAACTAAAAAGAGCTTAATCGTTGCCGAAAAGGAATTGCAAAATGTGACGTCAAAATACTCTCAAGATAGATCTAAATATGACGATCTAAACAACACGCTAGTAAAAACTAAGGAAAACTTGAGCAGCCAATTGGAAGAGAAAAAACAGATTCAGAATGAACTCTCTAGTTTTAAAGATAAACATAAAACTTTAGAGGATCAACTGCGCAAACAAGAGAAGGAAGTGATGAGGTTGACGACGGAATTGAGTAAGTGATTAATTGATACCAAATTTTTCTTCATCCCATTCCTATATCTAGAAAATGCAAATGCAAAACAGCACGAAATTATCGCTCAGAAAGGACAAATCGATGACTTATCCAATGACTTGGCAAAAAAAGATAAAGAATACGCCAAGCTTAAACAAGATTTCGACGAAAAAGAAAAGTCACTAAAAGACGTAAGAATTGCACTTCAATCTTCAACTAACCATATTATACCTATTTTAGCTGACAGTCGCAATGAAAAAACTTGGTGATGCGGAACAACTACTACGTAACAACGAAGATACGATGAAAAAGAACGACAAACAAAATAAAGACCAAATTAAACAATTGTCTGCAAAGGTATGTACTTTTAAACACTAAAGCAAGTAATATAATTTCAATTCCAGTTGGAAGAGGAGCGTGAAAGATTACGACTGAAAGAATCTCAACATCTTGACCTTTCGACAAAGTGGTCTGCGGACCACAAAGTCTTCGAACTACAGATCGAGGATTTGAACTCAAAAATTAAGTCCTTGGAAAAGATAATTGTAACTAAAAACACTCTAATAGAGCAACTGGTAATCGTCGCTAATCAAAATACACGATTAAAGTTTTGTTTACAGGAAGAATCCGTACGAAAGGAACGCGAGAATGTAACTTCCACAAATCTCTTGGTCAATAATAATGAAATTAATAGTTTAAAAGACGAATTAAATAAGACCAAAGCGAATTTGCGAGAAGTTGAATGTAAACTAGAAACATCGAGTAAAGGAAAGAAAACTGCGGATGAGAAACTTAGGAAGGCCGAAAACGAACACAAAAAAGAAAAATCAGAATTAGATAGGAAGGCAGCCGAACTATCCATAGAGCTGGAAAATGAAAAGAAGAGGTATGATACAGTGAAAGTTAATCGTGAAAGGGAAATGAAGGATAAAGAGACGGAACTGAACGCATTAAAGGGTAAGATTAAGACGTTAGAATCGTCATCTACCTCTGGCAATAAACAAGTTTCGGAAATTAAAAAAGAGTACCAAGAAAGGATCGATAGTAAGTGTTTTCAGAGATAGACGCGGAAAGTAATTCTCTCTTATTTTAGAACTTGAAAGTAAAGCGGCTAAAGATCAGCAACAGTATGAAGATTTAACTTCTAAGTATGAGGTTCTAGAAGAGGAATATATTGTCACCAAGGCTAAACTTGTCATGGAAAAAGAAACTGTTTCCAAGTACGTAACGATTATTTTTATTACAACGAATGTTTCAGAGTTATTATGTGATTAGTGTAAATTGTTTTTTTGTTGAATTTCTGAGACAACAAGCAGTTATTGTGCCGTTCGCTACTATGCATATACAACTATTAACAATGCTGTATTGTGTTAAAAATACACGTATTACTATTTCAGTCAACTTAAAGCAACGAAACGCGATTTGGACAGCTTAGAATTTGAGTTGCAGGAAGTAAAAGAAACTTACAGTCAGAAAAATGAACAATTACAGAAAGAAAAGCAACAAATTGCGGTACGTACACCAAGACTGGTGCAAAGACTGACTAACCTCACCTCATGTGTTATAGGAAAAAATGAAGACTTTAGAAAAAAATTGCCAAAAGGGTTTAGATACGTTTGGATTTGAACGAGGTAGGTTCAAAACGCTATTAGAAGAAAAAGCGTCCGATCTGGATCAAATCAAAAAGGAATACGAGGTCATCTCCGATCAGTTAGAATACATGCGCAAAGAAAACGATGACTTAAAGAAAAAACTAGATGATTACGATAAGGTATCCAAAATTCAACGCGTCATAAGTGCAGATACGTCTGCTATGGAGAAGGAAATAAAACAATTACGTGGAAGGTAATAATAATAAGATTATTTCATGCACATTTACACACAAATTTATAGATTGACAAGTACGGAAGAGTTACGGAAATCTGATTTAGCAGAATGCAAGTTGAGATACGACAGTCAAGTTATAGCGATCAATGAGGAAATACGATCTCTTCAAGCACAACTCACTAGATTCAAGCGCGAAAGAGATACATACAAGCATATGCTTGAAGGTGCTCAGAAAACCATAGGGGATTTAAAAGCATCTTCTTCCCCACGAAAGGAACATCGAAGTTCTACGGCTAGTTTTGATGAAGTACTAGTAGCCAATTTGAAATGCAAGTATTTCTGTACGGCAGTTTTTAGGTAGAGGAGTATAGAACAAAAGTGGCATCTTTGGAACAACAAATCAGTTGCATGGAAGATGAGTTATCCGAGGCTCGATTGGAGGCCTCTAAATCAAAGACTGAATTAGTATCCGAAAGGTCCTCTTGGGAAATTAAAATGTCGGAGGTGCATTCGAGGGTCAACGAAGTGAGGGTGTAAGTACAACATTCATTTTTCACAAAATATTTGTTGCAGTTAGAGGAAGAGCGAATATTGAGTAGTGGAAGGACAAAAATACCCGGGTTAAGGACGCGAATGGAATTGGCTTGGCATAAAGAAAGAGAGGAACAACAACGGCTACTACAAGAAACTTCTACTTTAGCGAGAGATTTAAGGCAAACTTTGTTTGAAGTCGAACGAGAAAGAGACAAAGAACGTCTAGAAAGCAAGCGCAAGCAGGAACAAATCAAAAAGACTTTAGAAGAAGACCAAGAAGAAAATAGACGAAAACTGTCCGAACTTCAATGTGATCTTTTAGAACTGAGGGATGCTCACGCGAAATTACGCACAACGAACGAGAAGTTAAGAAGAGAAAAGGAGCGACATGAAAAAGAAAGAGAAGAATTAAGAGCGGTGATTAGTGAAAGAAAACGGTCCGAACTGGATGATGACAGAAGAATCAATGGATTACTTGAACAAGTAGAGATGTTAATGAAACTAACTTCAGGTGGAGAAAGTTCCGAAAATGAGGTGTACACTCCTACTCCACCAAGAAGGACCAGAGGGTCTAAATCTAGAGAAGCGTCTCCAACGTTAGAGAGAAAAGACTTCAGTAAAGAATCGTCGGTGTCTAGAGACGATCGTAAAAATCAAATCCAATCCGTTATGCTACGACTGAACGACGTAACAGATGAACTCCGACGATATCAAAGACTGGCGGAACGAAACAGAGACCGGGATAGGATTAAGAGAACAATGGGACTACGAAGAGCCACTTCTACCGAACACGACAATGTTTCTGACCTAAACCAATCACAGAAAGAATTATCTAAAAATGGAAACATAACCACAAATCTGCATCGAAGAAGTTTGTCCCTAGAACACACGTTTCCAAACGAACAAGACATATGGAGGAATGCAGATGATAGCTTATCAAGCTTACAATCTATAGACGCCTCCTCCGACATTGAAAGTAAGTGGGTGAAAAGAGATGCGAGCTTAGATAGCAGACTCTCATCAACATCGACGCAAAGCGAAACGGGCGCCGTTGAGAAAAAGAAGAAAGGTTTAATAGGCAAATTAAAAAAACTAACGAAATCTAGAAGTATAGATGACAAGGACCCCGGGCATTTTTCAAATCCCAGATCGCTATCATCTAAGGTAACTACACCGTAATAGCAAATTGCAAGCCTAATTCTCTCCTGTTTAGCCAAATTCTGGTTCAGACGTTAATGAAGATGTAAAGGATAGTAAGAAGGATCTGAAAGATAGACTTACAGGAATCTTCAAACGTGGCGGGTCTTCTTCCAGAAGTAATAGTTTAGAAAGACAGTCTGCGGATAAACACGATAACAGATCTACGCAGCGCCCATTAATGCCTAATGGAAGTAACCCCAGTATTTCGCCACCTTCTCCAGTTGTAAGTAAATGAAGTAGGTACTGAGACGAAATACGAACGGACTTTTTGTTATAGGTTGATACCGTTAAAAGATATTCTAGCAAACCAACCAAATATAAGTGAATGTATTTAATGATAAGTACACGAAATTCCATTTCACATATCCCATTTTTGACAGAAGAGTTTGTTAAAAGTATTGAATTAGCAGATAGTAATGAATTGCAGACAAGGCAAATAAAATATTCGCTCCTATTTTTTTTTATTCCATTTGATTCTCTCTTTAGGTTCACATTTCAGGTGGACCCGAGAAGATGGTGTGATGTGTGATGACCCGTGGCGAGTGGGTGAACTGAAGGGGGTTATGTTTTTTAATTTTTGAAAAAAACTGATATGCGCACATAGACTTGGTTTAAAATTATAATAAGCATCAATAGATTGCATAGAGTATATCTTATAGACTTATATATAAATATAGAGTTAGGAAGGAACATAAAATCAAGAATAATTTTATGATATTGCATTCCATCCATATAGAGGATAGTTACATCGCCTCTGAAAATCCAGTTAATACACTGTTTTTATTTGATATTTTGGAAATTTGTATTGATGAGCGATTTATGTTTGGAATAATGCCTCACTCTTTTGTGTTCAGTGGTGTTCTGCAGGTCAATTCATTGAATACCAAGGCTAACTCGTAGTTTCTATGGTCAAGAACTAATGCTTCATTGTGTTGCCCATTAGACAATGTCCAAATGATTATTTCGATAGCTATTAATTAAAAATAGGACGCGATTTGGCTCACGATTGAAAGTTCCACAAATATATTCAGTAAAATACGATATGGAAGGCATTACTTTGCAACCCCCTCCTCATCCAATATAATTGTGGATCATAAAATCGTAAAGACGCCAATTTCTATTTTAGTAGAGCATTGAAGCGCTAAACGAAAGGTACATTTCACTAACAAGAAACAGCAAAATTTTGTATGGGATTGGATGGAATTACATGCGGGTCCCCGCTGACCATAACGACCAATTTGAAATTATGGCCACAACCCCCAAGGATGACCACAGTTTCCGACTCTGGATAATGACTACAACTAATTGAGCACTATTTCCAATGTCACTCGTACTTTAAATGACCTCATACGACGTCTTATCGAAGTATCTATTAACAACAACCCCTTACATTTCGTGGCATTAAATTTTCGTTGTTGTATGAGATCCGAATCATCATCGTATCACCATATCATTTTAAATTTAATTTCATTTTTTTAGTTTTCAAGATATTTGAGAAAGATGAAAGTTTTCCGATTTCGTTTTTGGTGAATAAGTACCGTGGCAACTGTTAATTTCTCGTCATTTAAATTTGCACATTATTACGACACTTTTTAAGCGAAATTTTTTGTTATCAACAAACAACCCCAACAAGCAACTACTAATATTGCCAGCTGTGAGAAAATAAAAATTAGCGCTAATAACTTCAAAATAAAAGACAATAATATGGTTATTTGGTCACACTAAAAGATTTGTCTTAATAATCAACAATTAAATAATCTCACTGTGTTCGCAAAAAAAGTCCTCCATAAGCTTTTACATACCAATGATCTCTTCACTTTTTAAGAGCATCGACTCGAAACGAGCTTTAAGGGTCTTTAAGAGCTTTAAGCGCCTTAAAATCATTTGTCGCCCTTTAAAGGGCTTTAAGGGTAGAGAATAATGTTAAAAGTATGATCTAAATATAAAAATGTTTCCTTTAGATGCATGAATTGTGCTGCCCAAAATGTAGCAGACCTAAAATTTCTAGGGTTTCTCTAATTCAAAAAACGTTTCTAAAAAATATTTAAAATGTCTACGTTGAGCCCAGAAATTTGTCGAGAAAGATTTGTTAATTTGCCAAAGGTTACAATTTTTCCTTTAAATTTTCAAGAAACTTTTCCTTGGGAAGAGTACGTGTAACACGTTTAACGCAAGGGGTTGCCTCGTATGGTGCCCACTTTGTGTTGCTGGTATAATTCGTTCACTACAGTAGATAATTCATTATAGTTGGTATATTATAATTACTTAGAAGGGTTGGCCAAATACAGGAGTCTGGAATCACTTTTAAGATTTCAAATTAAAGGTCGCAATTGAAATCAACTCCTGGAATTCTAGCGCTAACTTCATAGTCAAAATTCAAAATAGATTGTGATGCTATTACTAATTCCAACACAGTAGAAATCATTTTCGGAAGATTCCTTCTAAAAAGATTTTAAAATTTCTACGATCTCTATTATATTTCTCGGAAAGATAACGTCACATCCGCCTGCGTTCTTTATCACCGATGACTAATCTTTGAAGGCGCCTCGCAGTCTCTCGAAATTTCTGGAGTGTTCGCCTACACTGTCCCCTCCTTAAAATTGTAGTTGTCGTTTCAACTTTCAAGTGTTGTAACGTATTCCAACAATGTTCGCCATTGGGCTTATCACGAGACCGGTCTTTTGTCACGTGGTAATAAAGGAATCGTCCCTGCTTCTGTAGGCACCACGCTTTACCCACCTCGGGACGTTGCAAGTAGATTTCTCTTAAACTTAAAATTCTTTAGATCCTCCATTTATTTGCAACGGCAGCGACCCCGAACTATGTCAAGTAGGTGGACCACTGTGATTTTTCATCGAATGTTGGTGGCTTAACTCGAACTTTTGTCGTACCAACACTTTCACACTGTTCGGAGGCTCCTTTGCGAGACGATTGTGGAACAGCAAGTAGGTCTTTTTTATTCAGTCAATACCATAAATCGTTTTCGTAGTTCATCGATTTCGCTTTCTATCGAATTTTATCTTTGGGCAGCAGGCTCTTCGCGATAAGTAAATTTTTGAAACGTGGTAGTTTGTTAGTAAAATGTCAAAGAACTTTCTCAAAGCACTTTTTTCTACAAATACTTCTAATCACCACTAAGAATATGACTTACAAGAAGTCTCCAAAAGGGCATTTCTAAAGATTAGGTCGTTTTAAGAATTCTAGCAAAATTTCAAAAAAAGTCTCTTAAAATTTAATGTAGGTGTAATCCGATTTCTAAGAGTTTCTAAGGTTTTCACCTTCATTTTCCAAGAATATTTTTACTTAAATTTGCAAGGTAGAGTAAAATCTATGCGATGGGCTCTAGGAAAGTTCGTATAAGAGATGACGAAAGAACTTAGAAGAAGCTTTTCAGTGAAGTTTCCAAAAAGGTCTCTAGAAAGTTGGCGAAAGCGTTTGTAATACAATTGTTAGGGTGACTTTTTACAACCCACACGTTAGTATAAGCGAGGTATTGGAGTAAAAAATGATGACCCACTTGTTTGACGGAAATACACGCTTTGAAGCACCAAAAATCCGAATCTAAACAAAATGATGCCTGTATGTCCGTCGGACTGTCGATTTGTATTCTGGAACCAAATTTAGTACACATTCTTATATAGACATAAAAGAAAGAGCTAGGAAGCTTTTGGGTAGAACGCGCATACACAAATCTGCCGGTGGTATCTGTAGTAGCCACAGCTACTTATACCTGTTGTACCTGTTCAGAATTTCAGTACTTTGAAGGAAAAAAAGGGGTGGAGTGGCGTAACTCATCGCGCTTGTTTGACTCTTCTGAGGCTTACTCCTCAGACGAAGACTTTGATTGATTCTTTAATCTGCTTTGCGTCTTTGGTGTGCTCTTGATATTATTTTAACATGTAATGACTTCAGAAACAAATTAATACTCGGTTTCTTAGAAGAAACAACCAAAATCAAAACCAAAAGTCAATCTGAAAAATGTTGCGTTGGTTCGACATTGTAAAATAGCCCGCTCACTTGAAATTGTGGAGCGTGCAGTGCTGCAAAAAACAGTTGGATGGAAGTATACTTGCAAATGCACATCACGTTGTGTGGGGCAGCACGGACACGAACTCGAGGGGCGAACACATTCTGGAGTACTTGCAGACAACTGATTTGAATGTTTTAAATCAGGGAGCAACCCCCACCTTCGTTACGTCGCGGAGGCAGGAGGTCATTGATCTAACGTTGGGCTCTTTCTCTATAGCTCACATGATCTCAAACTGGAGAGTGTCTGATGAACCGTCTCTTTCGGATCACAGGCACATTCTTTTCCAACTAAACCTGTCATTCAATGGTGGGCCCTGTAGGTTTCGGAATCCCCGAACCACCAACTGGGACTGCTATGTTGAAAAACTGACAGAACGGTTGGATAAACCACCTTTGCTCTGCCGGAAAGCAGGGCAGGTGGAAGAGGCGGCGGCAATGATAAGCGACGCTATAACGGCGTCGTTTGAAGACAGCTGCAAGCTGCGAACTGTTCGGGGAATGAAGAGAACACCTTGGTGGAACTCGGACCTTGAAAAAGTTCGTAAAGAGGTTCGAAGGCTCTTTAACAGGGCCATGCGTACTAAGTTACCTGCGGACTGGGAGGATTACAAACTCGCACAGCGCAGGTATAAAGACCACATTCGACGGTCTAAACGGGGATCGTGGAGGACTTTCTGTGGCAACATGGAAGGGCTTCCCGAAGTTCAAAAACTTCGTAAGGTCCTTTTGAAAGATCCAGGGCAAAAAGTGGGGACGCTGAGGCTTCCATGCGGCAGATTTACATCTAACGCGGGTGAGGCCCTCACATGTCTCCTGGAAACACACTTTCCAGGCTCTGGAGACTATGTAACTTCGGAACCGCCAGAAGGTGCTACCCGGGTCGGTGCAAGGCCGACCGACTGGAGAGTAGCTGCCGGGGTTGTTACCGAGGGATCCCTGAGATGGGCTATCAATACGTTTAGCCCATTTAAGAGCGCAGGACCTGATGGGATATTTCCGGCTCTTTTGCAAAAGGGCCTGGAACCATTACTTCTGCACTTGTTGCACCTCTTTAGGGCCTCTGTGGCTTTGGGGTACATCCCCATAAGCTGGAGAAGGGTCAGAGTTGTGTATTTACCTAAGCCGGGTCGTACTAAGTACGACACAGCAAAGGATTAGAGGCCCATCAGTCTATCATCGTTTCTTTTAAAAGCGGTAGAAAAGCTGGTGGATGCATACATAAGAAACGTGGCGCTGGTCCTTAGACCACTACACCCGTTTCAACACGCTTACAGAGCTGGCATGTCCACGGAGACGGCTCTTCACAGTCTCGTGTGTAGACTGGAGAGGGGAATGTCTGCTGGAGGGGTAGCTCTGGGAGCCTTTTTGGACATCGAAGGTGCGTTTAACAACACCACGTTCGATTCCATTAGTGAGGCTGCTGAAAGCTTTGGCATTGACGGGTCAATCGTAAGATGGATCCGGGCCATGCTTGGAAGCAGGGTCATCATAACCTCGATCGGAACTACGGAGATGAGCTCATCGGTCACTAGAGGATGTCCGCAGGGTGGAGTACTGTCTCCACTACTGTGGTGCCTGGTGATAGACGGGCTCCTTCGTACACTAAACGAGGATGGAGCGTATACACAGGGATACGCAGACGACCTCGCAATTGTCATTGTGGGGAAGTTTCCGAGCACCGTAAAAGAGCTCATGCAGAGGACTCTTGGACAGGTGGATAGATGGTGCAGTAGCCACGGTCTCTCTGTCAACCCGGAAAAGACCGAAATTGTTCCATTTACGAGGAGACGGAATGTGGACCTTGATGGTCTCATCTTTCGAGGACGCCAATTGTGTCTGACCAGGTCAGTTAAATATTTGGGGGTCACTATAGACTCCCGTCTGTCCTGGAAAGGGCACATTGAGCGAATTAGCAAGAAGGCCACTGCATGTCTATAGGCATGCAGGAGAGCTTTCGGCTGCACATGGGGATTAAATCCTCGACTAGTATATTGGCTTTACACTTCGGTGATAAGGCCGATAATATTGTACGGCGCACTTGTATGGTGGCCTGCAACGCGCAGGGTAATATACAAGAAGCAGCTGAGTAAGGTACAGCGACTCGCTTGTTTGGGAATCACTGGAGCCATGAAAACCACGCCAACGTTGGCTGTGGAGGCTCTTCTGGGACTTGAACCTCTACACTTATCGGTAGAGGCCGAGGCCCGGAGGGCTTCCATAAGACTAAATGATTGGGGTGAGTGGAAGGATAGGGGCAGTCTCGGACACGGGCGGATCTGGGAGGAAACTCTAAGGTCCGACCCCTTCCTCGCAAGAAGGGACGTGATTCGAGCTACCCTACTTGAACCGAAGAGGTATAAAGTCATTCTCCCGAACAGGGAGCAGTGGCTGAACCCAGATCGTCCGTTCCTCAAACCTGAGGGGCTCGTGTGGTTTACCGATGGGTCCCTAACGGAAAAGGGAACGGGCATGGGTATACACGGTGACCGGCCGAGAGTAGGCATCAGCCTCTCCCTTGGCCAGCACAGTACTGTGTTTCAGGCAGAGGTGCTAGCCATCACGACCTGTGCGCAAGAAAACCTCCGTAGAGGTTATCGTAACCAGCATATATACATATGTAGTGATAGTCAGGCGGCGTTAAAGGCTCTGTCAGCTGACAGGGTCCGCTCGAATACGATGCTTGACTGTAGGCGAACCCTAGATAGATTAGGTGAGTCTAATAGGGTAAGCTTGATATGGGTGCCGGGGCACTCTGGAATAGGGGGCAACGAAAGGGCGGACGAGTTGGCTCGCGAAGGCAGTAGTGGGGTCCTTGTCGGGCCTGAGCCCACCCTTGGAATTGCTCCCTCAGTTGTCAGGGTCAGGATTAAGAACTGGGCGACCAGTCAATTCCAGGCTCAATGGCAACAGGCAGCTGGACTCAGACAGTCCAAGACCTTTTTAACAGGGCCTCTTGGCAAATCTGAGTCTTCTAAGCTTCTAAACCTAAACAGAAGTCAGATTAGGAAGATCGTCGGTGTCTTCACGGGACACTGGATGGTCAACTATCACCTGCACAATATTGGGCTTGTGGAAGACCCTGCGTGCAGGTTTTGTGGTTAGAGGAAACTACCGAGCATGTAGTCTGTTACTGTGACGCTCTGATCAGGGACAGACATAAACTCCTCGGTGACAGTTACTTGGAACCGAGGGAGGTGAGGAAACTAAGGCTAAACAGGGTCTTATCCTTCATTGAAGGGAACGGGCTCTAAGCTTTGGTTGTTTAGAGAGGGGGTTAGCACAATGGGCCTTTGATGAGCCTAAGTGCTGCCTGTAAAGGCTCCCCTGATAGAATAGAATACTTGCATGCCAACCCAAGTGACATAGTGGTGCCCGCTAAATACATGATTATGCATATTTAAAGCATAAATCCTATTGTGTAAAGTGAACGATAATGAATTTTGAACTTATAGGGCCCGCAATACAAATACAAATAAACTCCTTAAAAACTTACCGCGATATATCAGCAGAGGATTCTATAAGAACGATGAATATCACCGTACACTTTTGAACAATTACGTTTAGTGTTGTAGCATAAGCAGCCAGTTCTCAATTGAATTATTTAGCATCAAAAAAACCCCAATATAATCGGGTGTTCTCCAAGGTCTCGCCTCGCTTCGAGCAACCGGTCGGAAACGAACAAGGAAAGTTTTGAAGTAATAATTCCGGTTGAAACTTGAAAGAAGATTTTACGATGATCAACTATAATTTCCTTTGGAGTAAAGTCCGATGTAATAGACGTTTTCCTGAAATTACTTTCGTCTCTAAAAGGGGTGAAGAAAATGTGGTTTTCCTCTCTAGTGGGAAAGTAAAAAACAATTGCTGCGTTAATCTTAATGATGACATTTAAAATTGAAACATACCCGAATCTAGATTTCTGTCAAACTTCATTATTGCACACGATAATTTTTCAATTTTGATTATAGTTTCTGAAAAAATTATGTGTAACACTTTCTTCTCTAGTTGTACAAATAACTATTTCGCCATTCAACTTTCGGTATTCATTTTCCATTTTTTTGAAAAAAACGTACCTATCAAACAAAAATCTCCTTTAGTACAGTACACCATACTCTTTTGTCAGAATCTATCCAATCTTGGCCAGTTCAGGTATTGTCGGTAAGGTTTATTGTTCTCTTATCCAAATTAGCCTTCTATTCTAAAGGGTTGTGTAAGAAATCATAAACATGTACCACCATAGGCTAATGTGCGGATTTGCACAGTTTTTCCTGCATTTTGTTTAATATTAACGCGTGGGTCGAGCATTCACGCGGCCGACATGTTTATTTTGTAAAAATAAAAATGTTTTTACATTTGCAGCCTCTGTTGCTCCCCGATGCCTTAAAATTCAACTAAGCTGGTTTCTCCACCAACTTGATTTAGAGAATTCCTCCACTGATTTTCTTCTATGGTGACTTGGATCACATTCTTTTTGTTCATCTGAAAATTTCGCAAAACCCACCGGTTTTCAATTTCAATTTTCAATATAATTAGGCACATTTGTGACAATTTACCTGCATCCTTGTCCGGTCGTAAACATAGAGCACCCACTTAATAGCTTTAATGCTATTCTCAAGAGGAGCTTTCAGACGACTTTATCTTTTACAGTAAACATTTTTAAATTTATCGAAATATGGGTTTATATTTTACGTCACAGACAGAACATTGCCGCCCGACTGGTTGGTGTAAGAATACTTGGCAAAATTGATAAATTGGAAACGAATTTGTCACTACTTTCGCTTTTCAATTCTCTTGGAAAATCAGTTATTCAGTTGATACACATGTAGGTATTTACATATGCAAAGACAATTTAAAAGATTTTACTTTTTGGTTGCGACCCCGTTGCCTCAAAATGTAACTCAGTTTACTTTTCTTCTTACAGTATCAAATCTCTATTTGCACATTTCAGAAGAAACCATTAATATGATATTTCTTACAGGTTACACCATAGCATCATATGCCCATAAATAGGAACTAAAGGATTGCAAGGAGCAAAGTGATTGGGTAGGTGGATAAAACACTAACAATGCATCAAACTTTATTGTCACTACATCTTATGTACAATGTTTTTCAAATGAAGAACTCTAAAAAAATATTCGACGGGTTTCACATTGCCCAATAACGTAAACTAAATTGAACTAATCTGGCAGCAATACTGAACACGTCCATTTTACACAAAATATGAGATGTACTCGTGGGGCATAACGCCACGCCTGGGGTAAAAAGTGTGATTTACCGAGTAACTGAGCAAATTTGTAATGTTGGATGTATAAATGTCGGCGAATCTAAACAGTCTCCTTGAAAAGTAAGTTGGATTGTGGTAAGTGCGGAACACGCTGCCGAACTGCCGATTGAAGATAATCTTAATGTCGTTCCTAAAAAAAAGCACGCACGATTATTAAGTGTCATTGTCTAATTCTAATCTCGGAGAAAGTAATGATTACAATTATAGCCGAGTGAGCCCATCACTACCTATAGCAAGTTATTATCTTGTACTCTACGTAGCGGTTTAAGGCTCGGACTCTAACCACACAGGTTGTGACTTCCCGGTTTTTAGTGCTACAGAACACCTCCCGACTACCATACTTCGAAGGGCATGTATAAAGCTGGAGCTCCAGGCATACCACGACGGCTGTTGATGCGACCTGAAAACATCTGTACCTAGGGAGTGCCTACGATACGATACGATGTACAATTGGTGTACCACGACCTAAGTGATATAAATGAAAGGTCATAACGGACTGTGTACAACGGAAAATAGGTGAGGACATAAATTATATTTGTATAAACCAGAAACTTAGTATTGCATACTCTGTGCATGGGCACACCTGATGTTTAAAATGTGCTATAGGTATGTTTGCCTCTTACTAGAAGAATCTTTGGTTAGAATTTCAAAACAACCCAGCGAAAGACTTCCAAGAAAACTCGTTTCCTATATTTTCGGCCCCAAAAAACTCATACTCGAAGTGAGGTATTTGCTCACAGAAGATTTGAGAGGAACTTCACCATATCGTCCAACACCACCGAAAAATAATATCAAGGTTATCGATGTCACGCCAGCTATTCCGGTGAAAGTGAATTCCACACGGGCTTAATTTTTGGACTCAAATTTTACGGAGCGAATTCTCGATGAGTCTTCCGATGGTCAATTTAAAGGGGGAATCTTCTTACAAAAGGTATTCGGACCACATTATGAATTATCTACCGACCTCTAATTTAAAGTCTTATAGTATATTATACTGGGTGCCCGTTACTCTCCTCTCACCATTGGGTCTGAGATAATCTTAAGAAATGCAATGCTGCTTAGATTAGGTCTTGGCTAAAACCTCCCCACTATAAAATCAAAGCAACTACAATAAAACCCAATTTTGCATTTTACTAGTTTTACTCGCAGACTAGTAAAAATGGATAGTTCAGACTATGGCATCAGAGCACTTATAAAAGGAATTTGATTATAATATCCTGTTACGTAGTTTTTCTTTTGACAGCAGGATAGTGCACAACTTTTTTCATAAAAAATAGGTTAAAACATAAAAATGTATCGCATCCACACAGTAGGTATGTCTGGCCAGCGTTATCCATCCCTCCGCACAGTACTACGTTAATTAAACTGTTGTGATCATTGCACACCTAGATACGTGCCCTATAGACGCACAGACGGAAAGAAACGCATGTGCTACCGGTAGAACTCGCCAGGCTACCGTGACTCATGAGTAACAACTGAGCTCTATTTTTAGGGCATTTTTTAAGAATTAAAAAAATGTGCTATTGTTTTCGTTTTGTCTGTCCGTCCTTTCGTCTGTCCGGACACATTTCTTCGGTTTTGAATTATTTCCCGAGACGCTGTTCTTCAAAGTGAAACGTGCATAATGCGACAACCAATTCGTCTCAGATTTTGCATAGTAAAATGGGGGGAAAGAAGAGGTGAACACACGTTCTACCCTACATGGTATTGCAATGAAAGGTCTAATCGAAATGAATTGTTTATACAAACTATAATATTCCTGCGCGACTCTTTTTCAAGATCGGTGGATGACAGGAAGGGTGGGTGGGGGGGTCTCAACAAAAGAAACTGTTTTCAACCAGAGTTAATTTATGCCAACCATAACCCTCTTCCTCGATCTGTTATCGTGATCGGATATAATTCCTTATCGCTTATCACAAGAACAGATTATCGGAGGAAGGTTCTAACAAAGGGCGATTAGGGCGCCTGGAAGAAATATATCCATTGGTGATTTCAACACTTTAAGACCAATCTTGAATAAAGGTTTGTTAGCGGAAAGTACTCATAAAGACAAAATTAATTACCTGGGCGAGACATATTTATTAGTGAAGTCGAAACAAATATCTTGAAAACGAAGTTTCGGAAGGGGGTACTGATAAAGGACAAATGGAACGTCAGGATATCTACTAGTGATGTCAAATCTTTCAGTCCAAATATCTGCAGAATGGAGTGCCGGAGCCAAATGTATAAATTATTATTATTAATTATACAGCTCCATATCTGTACTCAAAAGCGACGCCAGCTGCTGGCCCAGGGAGGGGCCAGGGACATGGGAAGGATAAAACAAATTATTAATTGTAGGTATAGTGCAGAACATAATATAAAGCTTTACTCTTATACTGTCTTACCTCTACAACCACAACAATTGTAATAAGGAATTATCGGTCAAGAAAGTGAAGCGACTTTGGAATTTAGTTGCTTTACATTTTGCTACATTATTAATCTCTAGAGAGGGGCAGCTGCCCTCCCCGACCGCCCTCTGGCGACGCCGTTTGCGTCGGTACTATAGAATATGTCCACCAACCAATAATTCATGTTGGGGATTGATACAATGCCCAAAACGTATCTGGTAAATCGACGGATAAAATAAATTTATGAAGAGGTCAATTCAAGTGCCTAAGAGCAAATTTTGGTCACGTGACCACTTTCCAACATCTACTGAACAATAAAAAATGTTTAGGTCTGTTAATTATGGACTTACCTCAAACAATCCCTTTCTTGCATCCATTGGGCGAATACCTTTTGTTCATCGGGGTCTTCGCAATCTTGATGTTCTTCTATTAGCCCAGTAAGCATTTGAAGCCAATTTGCGTTACGTTTAAAGTCTGTTCTATTTAAGGTCTCGATTTCGTGCTAAAGATACTAATAGTTAAACAGGTGTACTAGGCGGCCAAATAAAAATGGTGGAAAGCTATATCTGATTTTTGGCTTATATTTTGATACAAAACTGTAATTCTAAAAAGACACTAGAATCAGTCGTACTTGCACAATGTAAAGAATGGTGTCTACAAGCAAGATGGCGGAAGTAATCTTAAGAAAAGCTCTATCCATTGAATATCTGCGGAATTAAGGCTCTAAATTAGACTGAGCGAGCGAGAATAAACTGCAACAACTACATACATACGTTAAGTACAAAGAAGTACAAGACAAGAATAGTGATACCCAAGTATAGTTAAGCCATATGAAGAAGCAGTGTACAGTATCTAAACATTCCAAAAACTCTCTACTATAACGGCACTTTCATTTGGCCATATCCTCAATTTTGAATAATTTTACCGTTAACTCGTTAATAATTGCGCCCGTTCTCCAACCATGTTCCAGAGTAACGTCGGCCAAATCACTATACGGATGATCGCCAAAATATAAAACCTGATGACCTCTCCAATTTGTCATATCTTGCAATTGTTTGACGGTGCCCTGCATAACAAATAAATCACTTATGGTTGATACATTAAAATGTTTTGTACTTCGTAATAGATGATCCCCTTTTCCAGTTTGACTACTCTGTCCCAAACGTGGCTGCCAATTTTGTCATCGTACACGCGGATTGGTCGTGATTTATCCGTAAAAAATTTGGGCTTTCGGGCTTGAACGATAATCACATCGAAGAATTCCTTCCAATCTCTACCCACAAGCATTTCCATTCCCTTATTTCTATAAATTAAGTGTGAGAAATGTGCTTAAACCGTGCCAAATATGCTTACACGAATTTAAATGGACTGTTGGTTACCAAAAAAAGCTTTTTACCAGCTTCTACGAGTCTTTGGAAAAATATGCGTAGGTCTGCATTATGCTTAATGTACTCGGACACGTTTTGCCCTACAATGCTATGCATTACTGGATGAGACAACCGAACTGAATTCTGCAACAAAATTCAGTGCGTATACTTGATCCTGCCGTATCGACTTACTTTAACATCTCGAAACAAGATTTCTGGATGATAATCAATGTGGTTACGTTCAAAATAATCCGTCACGTCGCATAAAAGGCCCATTTCCGGAACAGAAAACAGGTCCGCTAGTTGAACCATCTTTCCTTGAGTGTCCTATAAGGGATGATAAAATAAATAAAAATAACAGCGTGGTAATAATTACATCAGATCTGCTGTATTCAACGGCGGCAATTGGAATAATTCTATTTCGGTACAGCTGAAGAACTTCATCATTTGATAACGCGGTTAGCCCTCTATAGACGGATCCGAACTGAATTTGTAGAAAAGAATCTAATTTCAGTAGGACACCCTTTTGTATGTCGTAATGAAGCCCTCTAATTGCGTAGCCAGGTTTATACTGCAATTGGGAGATGGGTTGGGGATACTGTGAATGAAAAAGTCTAGAATGAGAGGGATTTCTGGTAAGAATTACCTTGTACTTCTCAATTAGGGTTTGTCTGCCTAAATTATAAAGCAAATAATCCATAGATGGTTTATAACACGCGAGGGTGTAGTCATAATCGAACCCGTACACATTTACTTCCCTTAAATCTAATTCGTTGCACGCAAACACGGCTTTAACATCTACATCCTTAGGCAGCTTCTTCGCTGGAACAAACACTCACATTCCAGTCACATTTCAAATTAAAAACGAACTCAAAACCACTTTAAAAAATAATTTTGTACTTACAATCGCATTTATCCTTTATCATTTGATATGCCAATTCTAAACGGTTTGTGGAATGCTTCCGCAAAAAAATTGACAAATCGCAGCATCTGAGTTTTTCCAAATAATTCAAATTCTGTTTAAACGTTGAAATACTGATCGTCTTACATAACAACATAACGCTATTTCGCTCTAAATTATCTCCGGTTCTATGCTATGACCGGCGCCGAAAATACTGCGCAACGCATTAAAAAATACTATTATAGAGTGTATACACGATGGGAATGGTTAATATCAGTTATTTTAATACTGACGCGCTCCGTTGAATTTCTGTACACAATTATCTCTGCCATTAGCTAAATACACTTTCGATGCGCAATTTTGTGACAAGGGACGCTCAGTTGTACTTGTCGTCGTATGTGCGCCACTCTTTACACAAACACCCTGGAAAATGCTTTTCAATTTTTCTACTGAAGCGCTTGCTTAACTGAGAGAAGAGACAATTTGAGTGTGGACAAACAAAATATGTCACGATAACTTATCAGCTTGTATAACATTTAATTTAGTACCTATCTGCCCGCTTAAAAATTTGAAAAATGTAGGCTATGGGTCCGACGCTATATAAAAAAAACCTTCAAATCTGCAAATCATTTCCTAACATCAATGTAACTTGGCATCAAACAATTGAAACCAATTATAAGCAATTGCCGGATAATTGATAATTGTATAACTAAGTGACGCAAATTACACTTTCTGTTGTAACGTGTTTACTGTTTACATCGTGGAAGTGATTAGAATCTGGTTGGTCATAGCTTTCTATTCTTGTCATTTTGGTAACAGAAGACAGGGTAAGTAGTGAAAGTAGAACGACCAACAACCTATGGTCAAAAACGAATTTACAACCCCACTGCATACTGAACTTGAGAGTTTCTCAACGCAGCGATGGGATTTATATCGGTTTATTATCGTGTAATTGCCAAGTAATTATTTCAGAATTACTAAAGCAGTAAATTTAATATCATTTTGATAAATATTAATTATCAATAAGCTCCATTTAAAGCGCATCTAAAGTAGGCAGAGTGTACAATTCTTAGGTACACGAAGGACTCCCTTCATTGCAGATGGGCATTAAATAAGCTATAAAAGTCAAGGAAATAGTAAATTATTTTTTTGTGCTACAACCTACAAGGTTAAGTACTGAATTTTATTTTTAGCGCATTTCGGAAGTTGACTATTACAATACTACTTTTACGTTACCTTTCTGAGAGCATAGCATGTTTTTATTTTTAGTATAGGTAATCGACAGAAGTGGAAGCTTGTAGCTTTTTCTCCCATCTGTAGATACGTCTGTCAGTCTGTTAACGTCAATATTATTAGCAAGGTATAGCATTGCGATGACCGTCTGTATGTAAATTTGCCAATATACGTATTTCGGTCGGATTTTGTTCAAATTTAGAATATGTATATTAGGCATTAGACCTTATTATACCTCTGAAGGCTGTCCTGTAGCTGTACAATGCCGTGGTTAGACCTATATTTTTTCATGGAGCAATTGTCTGGTGGCCTCTCGACAACCATAGCACTTCAAGACTAGCATCTGAAAACTAACGGGTTGTTGAATAGCAGAAGTACTGAGATGGATTTCCTATTCTGGGCGAGGCAATTAAGCGATTACCTATCCTAGCAGGGCGACCGAACACACTCACCCCTCAATTTATATTAATCTTTTTTGATGCGAAACACAGCAGGGCTTCCCTCTAGGTACTTATTCACTGTAAAATTACCACTAGGTTGGTTTCTGCTTGTCACCATGCACTAAAACAGCTAGCAAACAGCAATACCTTTGAGCTCGTATGGGTTAAAGAGTATGCTGGATCAAAAGGCAACGAGAATGCCGATGAGTTAGCCCGATTGACCTCAAAACAGATGTTTTATGGCCCAGAGCCGGCTCTGGAACTGTGAACAAACTTAATAACTCAAGACACCCAAACCCAACACAGGACTAGGTTGAACTTGATGTCGCCAAGCAAGTGAGCTCTTCAATGGTCCCTCTCGCAGTCTGGCGCGTTTTTGCACTTGCCTTTTGCTTGTGGGTATACTGTGTGGGCACCATAAACTTAATAAGCACACATCGCATGGGTTTGGTAGAATCACAATCTTGTAGAGGATGTTACATAGACGACAAGCCGTCACACCACATACTTTCTGAATGTATCTTGACTGGATATGCCTACGATTACAGCCACATCCCCTTCCAGCGCATTTAGGTTCATCTCACCTGAGGGATGGCTTGGGTAACGTTGTGAGGTTGGACGACTCTAGTCAGGGAGGTGGTACAAAGGACTCGTATGTATCAGAATCCAGAATACTTCAGTGTACAACCTACAAAACGTTGTGGCAGTTTTTTTTTTACAAAAAACTGAACAAAAAATGTCACAGTGAAAAAACTAAAATATTTTTTGCCGGCAAAATGGATACTTTGATTTAATTAATATTTTGCAAATGCACATTAGAAGACTATCAAAAATTTATTTTTTATGAGTCTTTACCGCCGTGACTTCCTACAACTTTTTTTTCAAATAGCAACCCAACATTCTTAGTAAGTTATTTGAAATAGATTATTTCTCTTTGTTTAACCTACAACAATTGCGATAAAAATATTACACTCTCCGAAATCCAGCAGCTTAGTACGGGGTTAACATTTAGGATGGGTGATAACTTGAGAAGGTCGGTCGTTGCTTTGTTTTTAGTTTTAATGAGAAGAATCTTATATAAAATATCAGAGTACACGTGTACATAATGCAGTTTTTATTATGATTAATTAATATTAAAAAATTAAATTAAAATAAACCAAAAGAAGGGAGCGGAGTTTTCGAGTGGTTACCCATCTAAATACTAACCGGGAGCAACGTTGTACGACTTTAGACCAGTGGCGTACGTAGAAATTTATTCTGGGGGGGGGGGGGGATTTCGTGGCACATACAGTCACCCAGTGCGTACTAGAAGGGGGAGGGTAAGAAATAGAAATTGGGTTGCAGGTTGCTGATGCTGGTAGTCATTTATCTATTTATTATTGTACAGGCGAAAAAGATTAGATTAGAACGGTATTTTACTTCTTACTGCTGACAGGCCCCCCCCTTTATTGCTTTTGCTTTAATTAGTCAACGAAAACTTTGAATAATAGGTATATTTATGGGCAAAAAACCAATTTCGACCTTCCTTTTTTACCAAAAATCGACTGCACCAAAATTTCTCGGGAAACAACTTTTTCTTATTAATTTGGGTGCGTAGAATCCAAAACGATTCGTACTTTTTCGATTAGACGCCTCCATCAAAAGTTATGGGCAAAAAAAATTACTGTTTTTAAAATTTAAAATTCTTATTTTCGTCATTTCGTGAAAGGCAAGACGCAGGTACCTCACCTCAGTAGCAGTACTAACTACCTGGTACCTATTTGTTATTTTGGGCATCAATGTAGCGAATTGCCGATCGATGCCGAATAGCCAAATCGTTGACTGCCAACACTGATCACTCACTGAATAGTGAATACTGAATACTACAGAATATTTAGATTTTAGTGACTTTAGACTTTAACCAAAACCAAAATTGCTCTCTATATATACCTATATATTATTGCCTTTATTTTAAAGTGGGCGGAGCGAGCTATGATGATAACTCAATTCTTCGGGGGGGGGGGGGGGGATATATCCCCTTCCCCCCCCCCCCCCGTAAATACGCCACTGCTTTAGACAATAAATTAATTGATAATAATAAACGAATAGGTATAGCAAACGAGCTCCTGGGTCATTGAACATTTAATTCGTTCTTCCTTGGGCGATGATAAACAAAGTACTGGAAAATTACTGGAAAAATAGGGAAAAGAAAAATAATAGTATGGTACTGATAATGATAACGATCTATTCCCCCTTCAAACGGTAGAGCAAGGTACAGTTGAAAAAGGAGAAACCAGTAATAATAACATTCAGTTTAATTAGAGGTAACATCAGCAGCAAAAACGATGCCAAGAAGGAAGGCGTCTGGACTTGTTATTTTTATGTTGTAGCACCCCCAGAGATTTGTTTGCTCCTAAATGAGTGTACCAAAAAGGATTCTGATTAACCACTTGCGGTGTAAAAGTTTTGATGAATTCAGAAAGAGCGTAAAAAATTAAAGTAAATCCACCAGCATTGTCTTTCTATATGTCTCAAATTATGGGCGAAACGCAATATTTTGGTTTATTAACAAAAATTCTTGTCTCATGTCCCACCTACTTTTACGTACTTAAATATTACACCCTCTATGCACTAACAACCAAAGCGTATCGAAATAGATGTTAATACGCACTACATTTTCTATAGACGAATTTAAACATTTGCTGTGTCTAGCCATTGAATTAAAAAATTAATTTTTATTCAATGATCTAGTACAGATACCACCCACACACCTGCATAGTGCGTATGTGCGAAACTGCCCAAAAGCTTTTCGGTTCTTCCTTTTACATCTACGAATATGTGTACTAAATTTGGTTCCGATCGATTCAGTCGTTTAGCCGAAAATAAGAGTGCAGGTAGACAGACCGACCGAAATCATCGAGATTTTGTTTGATTCGGATTCCTCGTACTCTAAAACGTGTATTTCCGCAAAAGTGGGGGCCATGCAATACCTCCCTTACTAACGCGTGGGTGGCAAAAATGAATACCTCCCTTACTAACGTGTGGGTGGCAAAAATGCGTCGTACGAAATATCATTTGCTGCAACCATTAGTAACTGTAGTGCGTACGCTAAATCAGTGAACTAACGCTAATTAGAGTTAGGTGCACACACAGGGCTTAGGGACAGAGGCTTCCCTTTCAGTAAAGATATCGAATCCACACGGTCTAAGGTTCTTGTGCTTCTTATTGTCTATAGTGATTTTAATTCAATCAAAGTAGTCACATTTTTATGCGAACCCCTGGCAGTCACACCCAGTACGCCTCCAAACGAAGAGTACTTCACGTGAAATTTTGAATTTTGTTGGTTCTGATTGGTCGGCATATCTATCTGTCAAATAAATGATATTTTATTACAGGTTTCAGTAGTTAAGAATATTTGCGAAAATTTAGATTTTTGTAATTAGAATTGTTGATTTCTTCTGATAAACAAATGTATCGGTGCCATTTTACTGTGTTACTGACATTTATGATATCCCAAGGTGTTTGTTTAGCAAACTTAAAATGGGATCTTTGTAAACTTGAAGAATTGTCAAGTTCGAAAGTAACTTTAAACGATTTTCAAGATATCTGAATGAACGTTGTGAACTTCTAAGTTCACCTTGACCTCAATATGGTTGATGGCTACACAAGCAACGTTATGAGATCCCACTAAACGACACACATCCTTTTGACTTGTAATAACCAATTCTTCATTTCGTTCTCGATGTGAAT